GTAACAGCAAAAAAGTGTAGCAAACAACATCCGGATAAAGGAAAACTTTGGTACTCATGTGGCACATGATGCACGTTGACAGCAGATACTTTAAGGAGTGTAGTAATTTTTTTTAAAATTTAAATTTAACTTTTTAGAAGCTGTATGGTCGTAATTTTAAACAATAACACATTACACTCTTTTTCACTCTGTTGCAAGTTAAATTTACCTAGAGTTTAACATGTAACTGTGTGTATACATTTGTTATGTACATACAACTACATACATACATCGATTGCATACATATTTTGGCAAGCAAAAACATTCACGTCCAATTTTTCTCCGCATATTCTATCCTGTCCATAGACATTTTCATTTCACTTGAAGCTGTTGTTTGGTTGGATGCTTGGCTGTTGCTGGAGAGAATGAAGTATGGCGGTTTGAAAGCAAATATGAAAGGTAACCGGAGAGATTGAGTTAAAGTTAAACCCCATACACCATGCAATGTTGAGTGTTTTGTTTTACTTATTTAGCATTTCTTTCATTTGTCGTTTTAGTTTTTTTTTTTCAAACATTTTTCCTTAAACTTCTGCATCGTTAAATAGTTACATGTTGTGTTTAGAAATGGTTCACTGTTAGTATAAAGTGCCTCAGTAATACATGTTGAGCAAAGTGTTGTGGTATTTTCACACTGTTAAAATATTTTAGAGAAAAAATATGACTGACTTTAGCTTGGATTATTTGACTTTATTCGTCCATACATAAGTTACACATTACATACATACATAAGTAAATTGAAATTTTAAAATTATAAAAAATAATTGCTATCAATTTAACATCAAAAATTTGTTCTACAATGTGTACGCACCTTAAGAAAATGTAATATTAATGTACATAAGTGAGAGATGTAAAGGACCGAAAAAGGTGAAAGGATTTTGTCCTTGCTATGTGCAATTGACGTTTACAAATAGTAAATGTGTGCTTTAATGTCTATTTTTGTTCTTTATAAAAAATCTACTAATATCCTTTCTAAAATATATTTACGCTGGTTTAATTGTGCAGAAAACCATGTGTTTTTGTGCTGTATTATTGTACAGAGTAATGTTGAAATGTTTTCTTGTTTTTTCAACTGAGAAGTTTAGATAAAATTACATACACATATACTAGTTTTTTAAGCCGCAGACAAAGGTTTAAAATAAATAAAATATTGCAACAAATTTGGGTACAAACATTTAGGGTCGGTTTTATAGTTCACTCCAAGGCACAATGCCACATTTTCCCAATTAAGAACGAATAAATTCAAAACAAAAAAGTTGTTCAATTTTCGGTATTTTTATATATATAAGTATATGTATGTGACCTAAGACTTCCAGTAGTATGGAAATGTCGAAATTTTGCTTTAAAGTTCTACTTTCAAAATTAAGTTTTAACAGATATAGGTCAAATAATATGATGTGCAAATAGTGAATAAATTTTATTTGGAATTAGTTATTTAAACAATGTATGTTACATATAAAAGTTTATTAAACAAGGTTTAAAAATTATAAAAAATATTTTTTCAAGTGATACTTTTCTTATATTTTTATAACGCTACAAATTTTCCTTTATGTCAACAACTCAAATCAAAAACTTAATTTTTAATGAATGCCACGCCTACTTTACAAAAAGAATTGACCACGCCCACCTTTAAAAATATAAAAAATATACTATACTATTAAAAATAATCAAAGTTAAAGTTTTAAGTATTTGTATACATTAAACGGATTTACTAAATAACAAGTAAGAGTGTTATATTCGGCTGTGCCGAATCTAATATACCCACCATCAAACCGTATGCCATAAAAGGAATGCTCCCCTAACATCATGATCACTTATCAAATTAACTGATCGCTTTTGATAAAAATTTTTAGACCGATTTTGGTTCATAAAAACATGTTTACATCGAATAGCATCTCTGTACTCGCTTTACTCGTATTTTTAAGCCAATAATGAACTTTAATGTCATTTTCTGTCATTTCACGCCGATTCCCATAAAAGTCAGTAGAGAGGTTTTGGTTCATAAGAAACCTACTTATGTCGAATTTCATCTCAATACTCGTACTTTTAAGCCAGTAGGTAATGAGCGTCAGAGTAATTTTCTGAAGCGACATTTATGGGGGAAGGATCAATTATGGACCGAACCACATAAAATTCGGTGGAGAGATTTTGGTTTATAAGAGATTTGCTTATGTAGGGTCAATTACGGACCGATCCACATAAAATATGGTAGTGGGGTTTGTGCTCGTCACGAACCTACTTATGATACATTTCATTGCTATACTCGTATTTTTAAGCAAGTAATGAGCGTTAAAGTAATTTTTTGAAGGGGACCTTATATGGGGGGTAGGTTCAGTTATGGACCGATCACATAAAATTGGATGGTGAGATTATGGATCATATGAAACTTATTTATCTCGAATTTCATCGCTATACTCGTATTTTAAAGCCAGTAATGACCGTTAAAGTCATTTAGTGAAGGGGACCTTATAAGGCGGTAGGAGCAATTATTGACCGATCGTGTCGAATTTCATGCCTATATTCTTATTTTTAAGCCAGTAATGAGCGTTGTAGTTATTTTCTGAAGGGGACCTTATATGAGGGGGTAGGGTCAATTATAGACCGATCCTCATAAATTTGGTAGGGAGATTTTGGCTCATATCACACATATTTATGTCGAAATTCATTGCTATACTCGTACTTTTAAAATAGATATGCCTGTTGAAACTGTTTTTCAGGGGTCCACTTGTATGGGGCTATCGGAAAACGTGAACCGATATGGCCCATTTTTAATACCAAACAAACCTTATTATATGTGGAAAATTTCAACCCTGAAAGCTGATTTTAAATATAAACTTCTCGAAGGCATGTCTAATTGAATTGTTCAAGAATTGAATTCCCGATATGAAAGTCAGACAGACGGACATCTGTATCTATACAAATTTAAAATATAAGGACATTGTATATAAACATTAACTACCGAATTTAAACGATTCCGATAGGAATCTGCAACAGGCTTATTTATTATACACAATTTCTATGAGGGGTTTGAGAAATTAATCTGCTTTTGCCTTACTGCTCCGCACCTGCACTTACATGTCGTCTGAGTTGTGGCAATGAATTCTTTACAAAAGTAAAGAATATTTTCCTCATATAATATTCTAAACATATTGTAGCTAAAAGATTGTTGGAAATTTGTATGCAATATTTACAGATTCTAAAATGCAAAATATTACAAATTTTAAAAAAGGAGAAAAACAAAATCTAAAATAAACTTATACGAAAAACAACAACTATGTTATTAGAAAAACTAAAAAAAAACGAAAAAATGGAAAAGTAAAAACATTTACATGAACAGTTGCTGTTGGCTTTTAAGATAAGAAAACACAAATTGTTGTTGAGTAAATTCAAAATAAAAATAAATACAAAAAGAATACAAGTATATACAAACATATGGGTCATTTATTTTAATAATGAACTAACTTAGTATTAAAATTTTCGAATTTATAAAAATTTTACACAAAGGATTTTAAATGATGGTCTATTCTCGTACGTAATCATGTAATACTTTTTCTTCAAGTAATATTTATGAGTTAGGATACTATTAAAGTAAATGGCTTATATATGCATATTCCATCTAAGTTTAAAAGAAAAAGATAAATATTTTTTGTTGTTTCCAAATAAAATATTAATTTTGTGATTTTCTTCTGTTTTTTCTATATTGTTTTTCTTTTGCTTTCAAGTTATTTAGTTTATTCATCTACCTGACCAAAATCATGTTTCTAATGCACATCAGAGACTAAAGTGTTATAGCAATGAATCCCTTTTTTCCTGTTTTCATATTGATTATTCATTACAAAGATTTGAAACAAATAGAGTTGAACGCCATCATTCCCATATCCCAAAAACAAGAAAAACTAAAGTTTAGTCACGTTTTTTCACACATTCGCCACAAGTTACGAAAAAGTTTTATCTTTTTTTCTTCTAAATGTTAGAAATAGTAACAACTTTTTCTAACAAATCATCAACAGAAGATTGTTTTTTTTTCGTATTATGATGAGCAGCAACAATCTCAATATCAATCAAAAAAAGTGTTAGTAGAAAAAGGTGTTACGGAAGTTCATTATAATTTGCACACATCTCCTGCTACAGACTGTGTAAAAATTTTAGGACCAGCAAAGTTTCTTAAATAACCTTAAGTCTTGGTTAAGTTGTTAATGGATTTTGCCTACTTCTCCGGCCGTAACAAATTTGTATGAGTAACTTTAATAAAAGTAAAAGATCATGAAATTGCCAAGACAAACAGTTAGTATGTGTAATGCTCATTTACAAGGGTATTTAAAAACAATGTGTTTTAGGAAATTTAGGTTGAATACGATTATGTGGGTTCAGATTTATGAATTGTTTCAATAGATTTTTTAAAAAAAATCTGATCTATTTCTGCTAATTTTCCGACCCGGAAACAAATATATGTATAATTTAGATCCCTATAGATAGTGGAGTTGACGAAGCTATTTTCGTCTGTTTGTATGTTTGTTCAAATCAATTTTCAGAATACCCCAGGTATCTTAAGAATCTAAAATTTTAATAATTCGATCATATATGCTTTTAAGAAGATTTTAAAGAGATTTTTCATTCTGTTTGTAATATGTATTTCAAAATATTGGTCAAAGACTCAAAAATGTAATGGGTCCATATTAGATCCTAAGTCCGTCTATCTCTCTATCCAAACACGAAGAGCTACAGGTCTGAAAATTTCCATATAATATTGATACAGTTTACTTGGCATTGAAAATGCATAAAATTGTTAAGTAAAGAAAAATTGCTGAAACTTTTCCCATATGGAGCCGTAACAAATCGTTTTAAATTCATTCATTAATTTTAGGTCAAATTTTCTTACATGAATCTGTTATGCAACTATAAAGTATGAAGTAATAGCTTAAATCGTTTCTCCTTAAATAAATATAGAATTTATCAAATTACAACATACTCCATAAAATATATTGATAATGTATTTAAAAAATATAGAAATTCGAACATCCTCTATTTAACTCTTAACGCCAAAGCACTTAAATCTTCTTTATGTTTCGCCAACAATTTCTTATCGACATTTTCTGGCAATTTTTTGGTAACCTCCTTCACAAGCCACGATACCATATGTTTATGATTTATACGCTGTTCAACATTACGACAAGCGACTTGGTAATCCAAACGATTTTTAACATCTTTATAAACCTGCATAATAGCTGATCTATAAGCAGCTTCCAATTGCAATGCAATATTCTCTTTTTTGGCCTGCATTAACAATAAACTACCTTCCGCTCTCCATTGTTCTAATTCTTCACGATCAATCATGTCTTGTAAAGCTTTTAGTTCAGCTTCATGTTGTTTCTTCCAGTTATTTTCGAATTTTTCAATTTCTTTATCACAATATTGAGCAAATTTTGGACCCAACTTTTTTACAGCCACCACACACATTATGCCCAAGGAGAGGCCCGTATAGAATTCATGCTCGCACACATAGATTTCTTTGGAGAATAGATAATTCAGTAAACCAAGACCAAACATATAGGGTCCTGTTTTACCCGTTTTAGGATAGAAAAATTGAAACCAGTTGTCAGGTATAAAACCTAAACGTACTTTATCGGGATATATGCGACGTTTGGTGCCACAATCACAGTAATGAGTATAACCAGTGCCTATGGGAATAGCCTGTGGCAAACCCATTTTACGCAGATATTGAGAAGTTATAATAGAAACTGGTTTTAAAGGAGGCATTTATTGTTTTGCGTATAAAATATACAAATATTTAAATACCGAAGTTTTAAACTAAAAACAACAATTACAAATATAATTTTTGTTTTAATTATAAAACTCAATTGATAACAGATGTTTATTGCGCAACAACAAGATTCTTCAAATAATTTTTAATTTAAACAAAATTCCAACAATTGACTGACTCATTTATTTTTAATTTCAGATTATTTTGAATTGAGTTGAAAATTTATTTTTGTACTGCTTGTCATATTGATTAGTTTGAATCATTTTTTTTTTGTTGCAAAAACATTTGCCAATACATTATTGGTTCTTTGTTCAATTGCCTATTATTTCGAATTTATTTACATTCAAATAAACGCCAAATAGAAAATAATGCCTGTGGGGCGCGTGTGTATGTATGACAAGAACTCATTAATTCAATAATATCTCTAGATAATTTTGAAAATTGATTTGCTACCTTTTGACGTCATTTTCAAAAGACAATATTTACTTGCCAAAGGCATCATTACCCTATCTAACCTTGACCTGAAATAAAACATTAAATTAAAAACGAATGGGTTATTTAGACCGAATTATACTACTTATATGATTTCGAGACTGTGGTCAAAATTTACTCGAAAACAAGTATTTATACCCTATACCACTATAGTGAGGAGGGTATAATACGTTTGTGCTGATGTTTGTAACGTATAATAATATTGGTCCTACACCTACCTTAAAGTATATCGATCGACCCAGAATCACTTTCTGATTTAGACATGTCCGTCCTTCCGTCTATCCGCCAAAATTTTAAAGATATTTTGATTAAATTTGGTCCATACGTTTTCGGCATAAGGACGATCCTATTGAAAATGGTTGAAATCGGTCGATTATTTCACATAGCCCATAAACAACCTGACCTTCCGGTTATTAACTCATAACTACGCCAAATGTACTACTATCTCACTATTAAATTTTATATAGGTATGAATGACCATTCCAATTTTTATAATGATCGGCCGTCGTATGACAAAGCCGCCTTTAAAAAATATCTTTAACGTCCAAAAATTTACTTATAACCATTAGTATCGCGATGAAATTCACCATAACTAACCTTTATATAAAAATACATCCCTCTTCTCAATTTGTTGAGAATCGGCCCATATTTGACCCAAACTCCCATACACAGCCTCTTTTAGAAATTTTGTTTTTCACAAATTGCTTAATACATCGGAATTAAGGTAAAATTCAACATAAAAGTTTCTTTATAATAAAAATAAATAAATTTTAAAATATACCCATGGTGTAGGGTATCATATAGTCGGCCATGTTCGACTATACTTTCCTACTTGTTTTGCATATATTTGGATAATTAAGTAAATTTACTTAATTTCATTAAAATTAATTTGAAATACCATTATATTACTTTGACAATATCTGATATAGTTTTCAAGATAAATGGACTTTGATATTTCCACTCAAAAATGAACTTTTGGTTTGAAATAAAAGTGATCGCAGATCATCGTTGTTTTTGGTCCTATCTCTTGCAGTTTTCAAGACAAATGGACTTTTATGTTTTCACTCAAAAAAGTGATGAAATATGATAGTAGTTTTGACTCCATCTCTTATAGATTTCACTAAAAATACATTTGACGGTGAAAAAAACAGTTTTATATGTGATATAAAACAAATATCACAAATAACACAGGCCAACGATGAAAAAACTTTTTAAATGATTTTCACTAATCCTAGTATTATTTGGTGTGCTGATTCTGAATATGGAAACAAAAAAGTCGTATCACCCACCAATTTTCCACATTTTCATCTTTTATTCCTTTTGACTATGTACTTGAGTTCCAAAAATAAAATTCTGTTGTTCTGTCAGATGTTACGAATTGTGGCTGTCTCTGCCTCTAGACTTATACTTAAAGTTATAAGAATGCTTTGTGGAAAAATTTGGGACGACAGGACTACGTTAACTAGTGGCGCCACAGCTCTGAAGTGGAAAATTGTTTTTCAGTTTCAAAAATCCAATTTCAAACTTTTAGCAATTTTGCTAAGCAAATTTTAAAATGTTAAAAAAATCTCCATGTGACTTATGGACAATAAAGAAGGTAATAAAAAAGCAAAAAAATTTGGTCGATATGTCTCAGATATTAGCGGTACCTGTGATTTGAATTTTGAGGATTTCGGAGAAAACTATTTTTTGTAAATTTTTTTGAAAAACAGACTTTATTCTTTTTTGTTATGCATTTTATATAAAACTTTTAAAGAATATAAAATTCGAGATAATAGGAAATATACATCTAAAGTTTTAGTGAAATCGAATAATGTTAAACCATAAGCTGTGAAGATCAAACTCAAGCTATGCAATATTGGGAAATTCTGTAGAAACCATATTGAAATATTATTCTGCTTTCAAACGATTTAAATGAAACTTAGGATAAATATATAATAAAGATTCGTATTTATGATGACATCGATAAAAATTCAAATTACCCCTTAAAAGTAATTATATAAAATGTTCGTAACATATGAACAAAATATTCAATGATATTTCGCGAGAAAATGGTGGGTGATAGAAAAAAAAACAGATATCAGATTCGGTTTCAGCAGCAAACATACATTACAAATAGTCTACCAATTGGTTTAAAACATTTTCAAAAACCTTCATTTCGTTGGCCTTGTGTAATCGTTGAATAATTTTGAATTTTTCATCTATGTGAAATAATTAAAAACATTCGTATATCTGGGAAATCATTAAATTTTGTACGACATTCATGTGAAATATATGTAATTTTTATTTATTTATTTTAAGGGTATCGAAGTTCACTGGGTATAACTTATATCGATCAATCGCAGTATATTTCTGTGTAATCCAAAAGCTATTATAGATTTGCGTTTATTTAATTAATGTACTATTTCCAATAATTATTATTATTAAAACTTTTCTCAAATTTAGCATTAGTATAGTGTAACCATAAGAAATCTAAAGCAATAATTACATTTCAATTAAATTCGATTAACATTTTAGTAAACACCCACCATGCTAAAAGTGCATAAGTAAAGAAATGACCTTTGGTCAAATATAATTGAAGTCATAGGACATACTTATTGAAATAATCACCATAAAGAAAGCATTCAAAAATATATTGTTTGAGTATATCTAAGAATGCAAAACGTATTAGACAGCCGCAAAAAGCTGTGTTGGATATTAGATGTGATCGTTAAAATTTTTAATAACTTTAAACTTTTCAAATACATTTTTTTTTGCTTTAAATTTTTAGTTAAGGTAGGTTGGTAAGTTAATTAGGTACGAAATTTAGAACAAAATAAAACTGCAGTATAAAAATACGATTTTAGGAGCCAGACTATTGCTGTTCAAACAAATTTATTAGTACACATGTGATTGACTCTTTCATGTCAAAAAGACCAAAGTGTTGAACATGAATGACTTAAAAGGTCTTAAATGCGTCACTTCTTATAATTTTCTTGGATTTATTTTTTTTTAACAGAATTAACAAAATTAACAAAATCTTTTTTGTGTTCGATGTGAAAATGTTTAAAAGAACACAATTATTGGTGTAATTTCAAAAAGCCAAATAAAAAAAACAGCTCCTCAAGTAATTATAATTTGATATTGAACTGGGCAACTTGGGTCCACCTATATCTTGTGCAAAAATGTACCGTGTTTTTTTTTTATTACACTATATTTAATACATTTATATTGGTCATTGGCAAAAAATTTAACTGATATCAATAAATTTCAATAGATATTTAGAGAGCAAAATTAAAATGAATTCATTCTTTAGCATATATGTGATGGATAATGGAACATAGATTTAGTATGAACATTTAGTATTTGTACTATATGGTACATAGTACAACAAACAAACTACAAACAAATCTATTCTTAGTTCAAATAATCAAATATGACAACATTTGTTGTTCTATCAATAGAGAAAGACAACCGGGCAGAAGTGAAAGAGGAAAGAAGACAACAGCAGAAACGTGGACACAAAGATCTACATCATCCAACAATAGTATAGTGGGTAGGAGTACAATTGTACGAGTACAATTTTTTATGTTAAAATGTGTGTCATTTAAAATGCCAAATGTTCGGATGATGATTTGTAAAAGTAGATTTTGATATTCTTATGTTTTTTTTTTTCAGATTTTTGTTCAGTTCTTTAGTGTTGAAAAAGTGTCATAAGATATAGAAAAAATATGTTTTATATACTTATTTTGTTGTTATAGTTGTTTTTGTTAGTAGAAAAATTTGTCACACATTTATTAAATGATTTTCATATTTTTTTTTTCATAGTTGTCATAAAAGTGATAAAAACCTTATGGAGTGGAAATATTTTTGTCATGCTTTTCTACCATCAATTGCAAATAAGCTGATGGCAAAACTAAATTGTTCCTTTATATTCAGTTTTATTATTTTTTTTTTTGTAGCTACCAATACAATTTATTAACATTTTTAAAATGCTTATTTATGCATTATATTTAAGTATATTTTATGTAAATTAGAAAAAAAAATATTTAGAATTATTAAAGATTTTATTTTTAAATTCTATTCTCCTTGACATCTTTTCATGCAGGTCTCTTTGGTACAAAAACGATTACGATTGCCATTGCAGCCTTTGTAGGCGAATTTTCGACAGTGTCCCTTATCGTAAAACCATCTGGTCTCGGTTGTACTTTGATCTTTACTGCTGCAAAAGTATCCCTCATTCCTGGATGAATAACAATTCCACTGATCTGTGGGTGGTAAATTTTGAATTGAGTTGTAAGGCAAATTTTGAATATTAAATGATGATGGATTATATTGTAACTATTAATTTGCTTTATTGAAAATATGTAGTTAAAAAACTATTTCAATGAAAATATTTGTTACGATTTATTGAATTATATTGTACTATTTATTTAAAAAAAAAAAGTTTATTACAATAAACATATATTTTAGTAGAACAGACAAAAATTGCTTTAAAAGTTCTTCAAAAAGAAAATAAAGATTCATTAAAAATATAAATATATATATTATACACACAACTAACTCCAGTGGGACTGCTTATAAAGAAGTGATGATGATACATAGTGATGTAATAATTCCTTTCACTAAAATTTCTTTGACAAAATTATCAATTCCACTAAAAAAGAGCATTATTTCACTCGCTAAACAAACTCAAAGCAACCACCGGCAACCACATTTTAATTTAGCACAAGAAAACCTTAATGACTCTTCATGCCAATTAAAATTTTGATGCACTTTTAATGGAAAAAAACCTTGAAATTTGCGTGAAAATTAATGAGTGTGTGAGTCGTTGTCCGCGGTTTATCTTTCAGCAAGCAGAAACAAAATAATACACAAAAAAGACAAAACAAAAAAAAAATCATAAATATTTTAATGACCACTACTTATGAGTGACTCTACAAAGGTGCCGCAAAAAAGACAAACAATATTTTAATTTATATTCTTAATTGTAAAAGAACTTAAGTGCATTTATAAAAAAACGAGTAACTTGGTTTCTCATACATAAATAAATTATTTAAATGTGTCTTTATCGCTATTGTTTGATATTGTCTATATAGTCTAGTCTAAAGTCTAGTCTATAGTCTAGTCTAAAGTCTAGTCTATAGTCTAGTCTATAGTCTAGTCTATAGTCTAGTCTATAGTCTAGTCTATAGTCTAGTCTATAGTCTAGTCTATAGTCTAGTCTATAGTCTAGTCTATAGTCTAGTCTATAGTCTAGTCTATAGTCTAGTCTATAGTCTAGTCTATAGTCTAGTCTATAGTCTAGTCTATAGTCTAGTCTATAGTCTAGTCTATAGTCTAGTCTATAGTCTAGTCTATAGTCTAGTCTATAGTCTAGTCTATAGTCTAGTCTATAGTCTAGTCTATAGTCTAGTCTATAGTCTAGTCTATAGTCTAGTCTATAGTCTAGTCTATAGTCTAGTCTATAGTCTAGTCTATAGTCTAGTCTATAGTCTAGTCTATAGTCTAGTCTATAGTCTAGTCTATAGTCTAGTCTATAGTCTAGTCTATAGTCTAGTCTATAGTCTAGTCTATAGTCTAGTCTATAGTCTAGTCTATAGTCTAGTCTATAGTCTAGTCTATAGTCTAGTCTATAGTCTAGTCTATAGTCTAGTCTATAGTCTAGTCTATAGTCTAGTCTATAGTCTAGTCTATAGTCTAGTCTATAGTCTAGTCTATAGTCTAGTCTATAGTCTAGTCTATAGTCTAGTCTATAGTCTAGTCTATAGTCTAGTCTATAGTCTAGTCTATAGTCTAGTCTATAGTCTAGTCTAGTCTAGTCTATAGTCTAGTCTATAGTCTAGTCTATAGTCTAGTCTATAGTCTAGTCTATAGTCTAGTCTATAGTCTAGTCTATAGTCTAGTCTATAGTCTAGTCTATAGTCTAGTCTATAGTCTAGTCTATAGTCTAGTCTATATTATAGTCTATAGTCTAGTCTATAGTCTAGTCTATAGTTAGTCTATAGTCTAGTCAATAGAATAGTCTTTAGTCCAGTCTGCATCCTAGGCTGTTGTCAAAATACTAATCTAAACTAGTTATAAAATATTAAAAAAGAACAACAAAACTTTGTAACACTTAAGTACTGCAACAAAAAACTAGCGAAAATGTGTTTTGAATTAAAATATTTACTACTTATAAATGCATTTTATAAAAAAAAAATAATATATTTTTTTACAAAACACAAGCCATTTGTTTCGCAACAATTACTCAAGAATTCCAATACAATCCATCATCATCCGAATAATGTTTGCAACAATGCGAACGATGAAAAACTTTTCCTTGTTTTTCAATTGAACAAAAGAAATAAAATGAAAAATTACACAAAACAAAAGAATAATCATAATTTCTTTACGCATTGTTCGTATTGTTTACATTATTTACATCATTTCTTACTCAATTCTTTACACTGCACTGCGGACTTGGAGGAAGCCGTTGACGAGGAACATTCAATGGTTGGCACAAACAGCAACAATATGAAGTTGAAAATTAAACAAATTATTAAAAAACTATTCATTATTTTTGCCATTATTTAAAAAACGTTGACAGTGGTGGTTTAGAAATATTTTTCCTTTTACGCAAAATATTACTTAATAGTCACTCAAACTTTGCTTTTATGGGGAAAAATATTAAAATCACAATTAAAAGATAATATTTATTTTATGATTTTTTTTATTTTTATTTTTTTCTTTTAATATTTCAATTATTTTAAGACAACCGGCAAGCACAAGAAAAAAATGTCGCAAAATAATTTGTTATATGCAGTATATTTTTGTCGTCTATTCTCTACGACCAAATATTCCGTAATGAAATATTAATTTTCAATATTTAGTTTTCTTCTGGTATTTTGCATGATTTGTTTTAAGTTAATTGTATGACGCCGAAAAAAAAAATAAATAACAACGAAATATATCATAATAATGATATTATTCGAGATAATGATAATATATTGTATTTAGTTAGTGGAATAAAAAGCAAAGTATTGGGCAGACAAGTCTATATAATTCAAAATATATATACTTTTTTTGTATATTTAAAATTTACAAGGGGATTTATAGCAACATTTGCTATACCCTGCAACAAAGAAATATTTCAATAATTGTCTCGTAAAGTAAATTTTTTTTATGTAAAATAATAGTGATAACAGATAAATTTTCCATTTTTTGTGGGATTAGTTTTATAATCAGTTAAGCTAATAGTCTGTATGTAATATGTATGTGTGTAAACAAATTTTATTTACTCGTTATCTTGGGTAGGGTAGTTAATAATCGGTTACTCCTAAACGTAAATTTTTGGTTGTTTATTGGTTTGATGTATTTTTTTCCATTTTTAATTTTTGCATTACTGAAAATATTTGTATTTAAAAACGCTATGTTCTTTTCGTCAATTCGTTATCATTGTTGTTGGATTTTTTTTTAATTTTTATACCCTACATTACAAAATTGGGTAGAATGTAATTTACATTGGTATGGGTTGATGATTGTAACACACAAAAATACCTTAAAGTGGGTTTAGCCATGTCTGTCCGACTGACTGTCCATGTAAAATTTGTGAGCAAAACACTGGTCGCAATTGGATTAATTTGGACACATTTAGCCCAGTAACGAAGCCTATTGAAAGTGATTGTATTCCGTAAATTATTTCACCTAGCCTAGTTAATAAAATTAACATTAATAAAATTAACATAATTTTATAAGAAATGCTAAACAATTTATTAACTAGAAACCCAAATTTTATATAGTAACTTTTACAAAATTCAAGCTGCTTCTAGGGCAACTTGCAAAGTGTCTCCGATTTTTGGATAAAATTTGATAAGAAGTAATGATTTTCTCGCACATTCATCATTATACCCTAAACCACTATAGTATAGGGAGGGTATTATGCGTTGTGCTTATGTTTGTAGCACCCAAAAATATTGGTCATACACCCATCTTTCTGAGTCGATTAGGTTATGTCTGTCTGTTTGTCTGTCTGTCTGTCTGTCTGTCTGTCTGTCTGTCTGTCTGTCTGTCTGTCTGTCTGTCTGTCTGTCTGTCTGTCTGTCCGTCTGTGTGTCCACGTAAGCCATGTGCGCACGCTACAGTTCGCAATTTTCAAGATAATTTTATAAAATATGGCACAAACTCTTCTTTTACCCAAGGACGAAGCCTATTGAAAATAGTTGAAATCGGTCCATTATTCCCATACCGTTTTATATAAGTTTACGTAATGATAGGGCCTCATTTGACCCTACCCCCCCATACAAAGTCCTCTTCAGCAAATGACTTGAAGGTGGAAACTCACCTTAAAACACTACTATCATATTGAAATTCTGTATAAATGACTTTAATGTCATCGTAAATCGCTCTACCATATTTACCTTTGCTCCCATTTTTGGTCACAAATTGTTAAAATATTTCGGAATATTAGGGAAAAATGCTTTATTATTGGAAAAATAATCCACATTTTTAATATACTCTCTGATGTAGGGTATCATATGGTCGGCCATGTCCGATTTTTATACTCACCATCAAAAAAGATGGGGGGTATATTGATTTTGTCATTCCGTTTGCAACACATCGAAGTATTGGTCATAGACCCACAAAAGTATATATATTCTGGGTCCTCATTAAATTGAAGACGATCTAGCCATGCCTCTCCGTCTGTCCATCCGACTGTCTGTCTGCCTGTCTGTTGAAAGCACGATAGAGTCCGAATGGAAAGAGCTAGAGGGTTGAAATTTCACATAAATATTTCTTATAGGTAAGGTTTGTTTGGTATTGAAAATGGGCAATATCGGTCAACGTTTTCGGATAGCCCCCATACAAGTGGCCCCTCGAAAAGCAGCTGTAACAGCTATAACTTGTTTCAAAATTTGGTTAAAATATAGAAAAAATCAGTAATAATTTGTTTTAATTCTTTTTGTTAAGTTATGTGAAATAAACAATAATAATCTAGTTTATTATACTTTGTTAAGTGAATTAAAATATAAAACAGCAAAATAAGTTTTTATTTTTTATTTTTTTTGGTTTATTTTACTAATGACAAATCTGCCCCATCCCCTTGGCGTATTTACCCCATGGATGGGGCGGTATCGTCGTTTTTGGTCAGTGCGGAAAAGTTAAAAAATATGTACATGAGGATGATTTAGGAAAGATTGAAAGGGATAAAACTAAAGCCAACATATCTAAGTATCCGAACCATGAAAAAAATTAAGAATATGTATTGTGGTTTTAATTTGAGGCCGCCTCAAAAAAAAAAAAAGTGGCATAGCCGAATATAACACTCTTACTTGTTAATTTTAAAAAATTTTATAAAAGTTTCAACCCTTGTATAAATATTAGATACATATGTCCAAAGATCAGTTAGTACCGTAAATGCTTAAATTCATTTTTCTACTAAATGTTGTAAAAATTCAAAAATAACCATTTAAAGAACGAAAAAAGTCACAAAACTCCCTTCTTTGACATACTCATTCACTAAAGACTGTGTATATTTAATTTATATTTCATGGACCAATAAATTGTTGTTGTTACTGTTTTTATTGTAAAACAAATTCATACAATTTTAAGTTCTATAGTTACAAAAATATTATTTTTTGCAACAATCCCACAGTTAATCGAATTATACACTGAGTCGTATGAGTGATTAATAGTACTGGCCGTATTAATGATTAAGTATACGTCACCACGTTATCAATTGACATAAAACCAGGCGGCCAATGGCCACGTATGATTAAAATAATTAATTTCAATTAATCTTTTGAAAACATTAATTTTCACAACCAGACACCAATAAAAGGATAGAAAAAGGATCAAAACTATTTATAAAAAAAGGCTCAATATTATTAAATTACAAGTGACAAACTCAATGTACATTTTTTATTTTCTATATAATTACTTTAACATAAATAAGAGCAATATTTACGTTCATCATTAAAAATGTCAATAACACAGCAAATTGTTCATAAAAAAAATTAAACCCAAGATGACTAAGAAAAAAAGAAAAGAGTAAAGTAGAATTATTAAAACAAAACAAAAAAATTGGGGAAGTGTAAAACAATTGAATCAACATAAAATAATTAATTTTAATGAAAAATCATCACATCATCATCACGCTATTTTGTTTTTGTATTGTGTGTGTAATAAGTGTCAATTGTTTGCTAAATTTAAATTAATTTATAAACAAAAGCAATTTATAAATAAACGTATTCTGGTAACATTTGTGTGACAATGCAGAAAAAAACTCCTTTTTTTTAAATTTTTTTAGTTTAGTTTGCCTTCCTCGCTGGTGCCGCCAAATTTTTGCTATTAAATGTATTTTGTTTTTGTTATAGAACCCAGCACTTTTGGTAGCGTTTTTTCTCTCCACTGACCCTTTATATTTTGATGATTTAATAAAAAAAAAAATAAGCAAATTAAATGTCATTGTTTGAAATGAAATTGAAATTAAAAATATTTTCCTTTTATACTTTTATATCAATTCATTTTTGTTTTGTTTTGCGTGCGTAAATAAATATGTAAATATAAATGACTGTAAAAGGGAGCAAAAAGGAACAAATAAATGAATAACTGCAAAATGAATGACATAATGAATGTTTATGGCAATTTTTCAGTTGTCATTAATTTTAATTTAAGTGCATTGTTTGTTGTGATTTAATTTTTGCTGTGAAATAATTGGATAATTAAACAAAAATATATTATATGTACATAAATATGTATGTATGTATGTATATTAGGGAGGATTACAAAAAGGCAAGATAATGAATGAATTAATTCTTTTATAAATGTCAGCCTAAGTTCAAAAACGTTATTCGCCCAAACGGAAGGAATTAGAAGGTTGGCTTAGTTAGCAATATTTTATTGATCTAAGTAGCCATATTCCGGGTCATCATTATATTTAACAAGTAGGAGAGTATAGTCGGACATGGCCGACTATATGATACCCTACATATTTAAAAATTATTTATTTTTCATAAAAAATTTGTTGAATTTTACCTTAATTCCGATGTATTTAAGCAATTTATTGATGGAAAACTGAATTTCTAAAAGAGGCTTTATATGGGAGCTAGAGGCTTTATATAGGTAAATATGGGCAAATATGGGCCGATCCTCAAGAGGGATGTAATTTTATATAAAGGTTAGTTATGCTTCATCGCGATACTAATGGTTATAAGTAAATTTTTAGACGTATAAGATATTTTTTAAAGGCGAGCTAGGGTCAAACGACGGCCGATTATTATAAAAATTGGTATGGTCTATAAAACTTAGTTGTGCCAATTTTTGGTGAGATAGTAGTATATTTGACGTAGTTATGAATTAAAAACCCTAAATCGGGAGGTCAGGTTGTATAAGGGCTAGGTGAAATAATGGACCGATTTTAATCATTTTCAATAGGCATCGTCCCTGTGCCGAAAAACTCGTATGACCCAAATTTTATCCAAATATCTTGAAAATTGTGGCCTGTAGATTGCACACAATGTTTACATGAACAGCCAGCCGGACGGACAGACAGACAGACAGACGGACAAACATGTCCTAAACGACTCAGAAAGTGATACTGAGTCGATCGGTATACTTGTGTAGGTGGGTGTAGGACCAATATTTTTATCCGTTACAAACATCAGCACAAATGTATAATACGCTCTCCACTATAGTGGTGTGGGGTATAAAAACAACGTAGCAATGTCTGTCTATACGTCTATTAAATGCACGATAGGGTCCGAATGGAAAACGGTATAGGCCTAAAATTTTATGAATTTCCGTGTAATGATGATATTAGAGCTAAAAAACTGTTTAGCGAACCGTAACCTATGTACCGAAA